TCTGGTCTATCTCTTCCCTGACCTTGTTCTTTGTAACTGTGGCAATGAAGATTTATTTTAAATACGTGGAAAGCAGCCAGCATGCCTTCTGCACAGTAATGAAAGATGATTGTGTTTATCTAGCATTAATAAACTAGCTTGGCAAGGGATGTAACAAGTGACAACAACTAATCTATTTAACTAGCTAAACATTATATAATGTGTAACTCATCATTTAGCTAACATTATCTGCCTCCAACAGCATGACTCAACTTACATGATTTGTTTGGTAAAAACTGTGCCAAGTTTTAATTGATCTTTACACCACAAGGCTCTGCTCAGCACAGCAGCTCCTATCAGTCATCTCATCTGCAGGACTAGCTTGCGCACGCTTATGGTGCGTTCAAAGACGGCTCAGAAAAATTTATTGCCATATGCTAATAATGGATAAAACAGCTGTTACAGCTGAGAAAAGTGCGGGGACAGAAAGCGCAGACGCAGGAAGTGCAGGGAGACATGTCCACGCATATCCTGCATCCGTTGTGTCCGTGCCTTCACTGCCYAGGGCCCTTTTGGAGWCCTTGGGCCCCTGGGCAATTGCCCCATTGCCCATATGGTTAACCCGGCCTTAGGTTCAATGGATGTAGACAAAATTATACAGTTTTTTGTTAACACCAAAACACCTTTCAAAAAAAGTGAAATAACACTGTTTGGGGAGAAAATAAAGGCAGCTTGGCCAACCCACTGGGCCTCTGTCATTGATAGAAGAGGGCGACATGAAGAGGTACAGTASGAGGCACCCGTTTTCACCTTATCACAACAGGGTAAAAATATCAACATCCACACAGTCAAAACAGTACAGTGGTATCACATCTTAATCTCTCAAATTTCACAAGAGCCAGCAGCACACAAACATTGGGTAAGGCTATTTCCACATCAATCAGTCTAATATCTGGAAAAACACACATTCCTTTTGCACACCAAAATGCGAGTAATACAGATTTCCTCATTAGGCACAGAAGCATCTATACAAGCATTGTTCTGCATCAAATAGATAAACGAAAGTTTGGTAGAGATTGTGCAGTGTGTTCTACAGGCCCTGAGACTCTAAATCACCTGGTCCTCAACTGCCCAGGCAGCATCCGGTTTTGGAGCCAAATGCATGAACTGCTAAAGAGAAACTGCCCTGAAGTCATGAAGAAAGAGAGGGACTAGGATTGGCTGAGACTTTTTGGAACTAATGCATCCTACAAGACATCAATGCAGGTGCATCTTTGCAATATTTTGCTCTCCTTGTCCAGACATGTTATTTATATTAGCAGAAACTGCAGGCTAAATGAAGGCAGAACTGTGGACAAGTGGAAGCTGTTTTGGGGGCTCCTGAAAGAACATCGAGAAGTAGTGAAGACAGCCAACGAGCAGAAAGATCAAGAGCTTTTTGGAACGATGATGGATTGAGGAAGACATACGGACATGGAAATCGGGGGGGAGGTTTTTAACACAAGCCAACGGATTAATATGAATCTTCTTGTATTTTGCCCTATGTGTTGTAGTATTTAATATGTTTATGTTTCTTTAATTTTATTTGTTTAT